AAGCATTATTTAGACCTTTTAATCTGTCCAAAGTGCAATCTCTTAGTGGTATCAAACCCCTGACAGTGCTGTAACAGGACTGTAAATGAAACCAACAAGAAAGTCTACATTACATTCATTTTGGACACAGTCCTGTAAGGAGCTAGTAACCGTATAGTTATCCTCGAGTTTCTTTGAAGCTTTATTTTGCAGAACCTTAATGAGGGTACATAGCGTTTTCTTTTTCGAAGGTTATGTAAGCATAACATGTTTAGACTGAACCATTTTAGTACTGTGCTTCAAACACGTTAAAAAGAAATTAAGGGAGACCATTTGAGTGGGAATCAAAGAACATTATATTCCATTTTGTTTGTTCTCTTTATGATATATACATTTCTATTGAGCGTGTAAATCTGCAGGAAGGATAGTTTCATAACCCACAGAGCATTTTGTGATGCTTTAGCAGAAGAAAGTGCCAGACTCTCTGCAGCCAACTCAATCTTGGCCAGTGGACAAAACCCTAATAATGAACAATGGCCACCGAACACGGCGGGGATATTCCATTTCAACCCCCAAAACTCTTCTTCACTCTTCCCCTTCTCCGCCCAACAGCGTCACTTCCCAAACCCACCACCCCACATGAACCTCCTTCACCCCTCCTGGGACCCACTTCAGGAACATAATCCTTATAACAATGTCCAAATCAAACCTGAATCCATCCACATTCCCCTCTCTTCACCATTTTACCAAGAACCGCTCCACAATGGGCTGATGGCCTCTCCCTTCCGTGGTCTCCACGTCAGCACCGGTGGAGCACCGCTCTCGGCCACCGCACTCCTCCAGAAGGCAGCCACTGTTGCTGAAGTACATTCTGTAGGTCACGTGAGCTCCACCATGTCCCAGCTGGATATGGGTCACGTGACCACCACCACTGCCGCCGGGGGATTTGCAGCGGGTAATCTTGTCACGTGGACTGACCACTTCACCAGGGACTTTCTTGGGCTGAAAGGAAACCACTGTGGTAGCGGCAGCTGCGGCAATAATGGGAGCTCGGGGGACCTGCTATCCTACACCGGGGGTGTAGAATACCCAACTTATGGCCATGAACACTCACTATTGAAGCATCAAGGTGGCTTTGGATTTACCGAAACTGCATCAGAAGGCGAACTGTTGAAGCTACACTGCATTACAGATGGCTAATTCAGATATTTTACTCTGAATTCAAGAAAGCTAAGGAACATGAAGACTTCAATTTCCATTAATTTCCAGCTTTTGGTTTAAATATTAGACTGTATTTCATTCTCATAATTGCCTGTTTTAAAGATTGTTATTGAAGTACCTTTTTTGAATTATAATGATGCAAGACTTTGAGATGTTAGGGCATCTCCAACCATTGCACCATTTTTTGGTGCAAAGTTGCTCCAACCCAATATCAAATTTTGTATCATTTTGGTGCAAAATAGTACAAAGTGAATAGTGTTGCACCAAATATGGTACAACACTATTCATTTTGCACCATTTTTCACCAAAATGGTGCAAAGTGTAAAATGTCATTTTTGCTCTTATTTAACATTTTTCAAATAAATTTGTTGAGAGTATTTATGTCATTTGTGTTATATATTTTTTAATACAATAAATTATTATTTTTATTTTTATTAATATTAATATTATTTGTATTTAAAATAAATTTTAAATGT